GGATTCAAGTTCTGCCTTCTGGTGACCTTGGCCAGCTTCGGAGTAGGCAAACCTCGGAAGCTCTTCCTGTGTTCCAGGTGTGGGTGAGGGGGGTGGTGATGGCTGAAAACAGGCTGGCCAGTGTCCCCAAATCCATAGGTCACTGCTGTGATCCTGGGGTGCTTGTCCATGGCTGGCAGTGTGTGGGGTGGGAGGGGCTGGGATGGTGGTGGTCCCAGCTCGGGGAACGCCTGTTAACTCAGTGCGTGAGGGGGCACAGAGTGGGGAGCTAAGGCCGACCTTACCCAGCTCTCTGCTGCTTATGCTCCTGGAGGGACCCGGAGAGCTGGGCCTCAGTGCCTCCTTCCTCGGCCCCCCTGGGGCATCCTTGCCCTCTCCCTGGGCACTGAGGACCAGAGAAGGAGAAGACCACTTTCCAAGCACCTCCTAGGTCCTAGGGTGGCGGTGGGGGAGGGGAGGCCGGGGAGGGGCTTCCTTCACTTTCCCTCACTAGAGGTAGGGGTCCGCCATGGTGGGCTTCCCAAGCTGAGGGCTTGGTGTGACAGTGTGTCTATAGCAGTGTCCCAGCAACCTGGTCCCCCCAGGCAAGCTCTGAGCCTAAGTTTCTTTGTAAAATGAGGAGAACCAAGTTCCTGGCGCTCCCAGGCCTGTGGGAGGGTGAGTCAGGATGGGGAGCTGCCAGCCCAGGGACCGCCTGCCTTGCGCCAGGCATCAGGGCGCTCTGGGCAGAGAGGCTGGTCTACCAGCCAGCAGAGAGGAGAGCTTATCATTTGTTGTTGTTGTCTTCCAGTTCAAGGTGAAATTCATACAGTGAATTTCAAATTAACCCTTCGGAAGTATGTGATTCAGTAGTATTTAGTGCCTTCGTAGGGGGCCATCACTAGCACTCTGCTTGCAAAATTAAAGTTTTAAGGAAGGACAGAGGGAATTTGGGTAGAGGAAGTGGTCCCTTCCACACCCCGACTTTGAGCAGGTGCTCTGCTTCTCCGAGCCCCAGGGTTTGTACCGAAAAATCACGAGAATGACAGTAAAAATGGCAGCTGACGTCCCGTGGCACTTCACGAAAGCGTTTTGCACGTTATGTTTTACCACGTGACCACTTCACACAGCCTGGGGACACTAAGAAACTTGCCCAAAGTCAAGTGGGCCTTGGAGCCAGGGTCTTGTCTCTTTGTCATCCCTGGGGACCCTTCTGTTACCTCCCTTCCTGTGGTGGAGGACGGGCTTGTCAGAGGTCTCGTGCCTGGCCCCAGTCTAGTTTCCAGCAAGGAGAGGCCCTCACAGACTGAAGCTAAATTAAGTATAAACTAATTTAAAATTAAAACACGGTAAAAAAAATTTTTTTTTAATGTTCTTATTTATTTTTGAGACAGAGAGACAGAGCACGAGCGGGGGGGAGGGGCAGAGAGAGAGGGAGACACAGAATCGGAAGCAGGCTCCAGGCTCCGAGCGGGCAGCCCAGAGCCCGACGCGGGGCTCGAACTCACAGACCGCGAGATCATGACCTGAGCTGAAATCAAGAGTTGGACGCTGAACTAAGCCACCCAGGTGCCCCTAGACTCATGAAGATTTCAGAAAATTAAAGATGTGTTAACTCACCGGCCACATTTACGTGCTCAGTAGCCACAAGTGGCTGCTGTAGGTAGCCTCAGCACAGATACAGAGCATGTGTCCAACGCTGTTGGTTACGGGGCCGTAAGTGTCATTGATTCACCTGGCCTGCTCGGAACGGCAAACGGGGCAGCGGGAACATTCTCCTATGGGTGACTGCCCCTCAGGGCTGCAGAGCCGATTGCTGGGCTCTGGGGTCAGCCCCAGCTCCGCGCCCTGCCCAGCGCCCTGTGACTTGCGATCGTTGCTTGTCCTCATGCCTGCGAGAAGAGTCCACAAATGACCACGTGTGAACCTGAAGTGGTTTCAGCATGAGTGGCGCCAGGTGGCCCAGCCTGTTTGTTTAGCGTTCGCCGTTATTATTCTGGATGACGGTAATTTGTTGTGGTTACACGTGTGTTTTAGGTCATTGGTGTTGGCTTCCAGGGCGGCCAGTGAGCAGGCGGCACCTCTTGCCACCAGGGGGCAGCCTGGGGCCAGGGTGGGGGCCGGGCCTCGAGCCCAGCCTGCGGCGGGTGGCAGGGAGAGCCCCTCCCACCTCGGGCCCTGCGGGAGGATTTCCAGCAAAGTCTAGGGAGAGACCATTGGGCTCTGGCCTGACTGTCGCCGTCCCCCCGGAGCCCTGAGACCCACATCGGGGGAGCTAGGAGGCCGTCACCGGGTCCCCAGGGGTGGGTGCGAGGAGCAGGGGTGTGTACCTAGACTTTGAGAGGAGCACCAGGGATGCCGAGGCACGGGCCGGGGCCTCGGACGGCAGCCTGGAGGCTCTGGCGATGCGGGGCGGGGGTCAGCTGCCTGTCCTCCACGCCAGGGAGACCCGGCAGGATGGCCTGGGATGGCGCCTGGTGGGTGTCTTCAGGGGTCAGGGGCCGCCCCTGCCCTTAGTATCTGCGCTGCCGAAGGGAGCACTACCCTGTCTCCTAATCCTGACGCGGGTCTGTCTGCTTTTGCCATCGGAGGATTAGAAACGGCCCTCGCGTAGTCAGTCCACGAGTTGACGCCTGCTGTGCGCCGGGTCCCGGGTGGCAGGAAGTGAGGCTGGCGGTTCTCGCCTGCAGGGAGGGGACCCGCTTGTGGGGAGGGATCCGCATTAGCAAGTGGGTTTGGCAGGGGCTTGGATGCAGTGGCCAGAGGGGCTTCGGTGAGGCGCCGGGAAGGCCCCACCTAAGGGGGAAACGGGCTGGGTCTGGGGGGGTCGACAAGGACACCTGGGGGCTGGTGCCCGAGCGGCTGGGTGGAACGGAGGCAGCCACCGGCATTCGGAAGCGTGTTTGGTTTGCATCCGAGATCCATCGCTCAGCGGCTTCAGGAGAATAGTTCGGGGAGAGCACGGGGGGCAGGGTATATGTGCAAATGAACACCCCTGTCGTGTGTAACCGTCCTTGTGACTGGCGGTGGGGTGGCGACGGTGTGCCCGTTCCACGGAGTCGCACACCTCTGGTCTGGGAGGGGCACACGTTGGCCCGCGTGGTCTTGCCAGGGCACCAGAATTCCCGCCGGACCCGGGGAAGGGAGTTTGGGCGCCGTTGAGCCCCTGTGGCGGGCGGGAGCCGTTGGTGGCATCCGGGCACCAACGCCCCACCGGGCCTTGGGTGCTGCTGGGCGGGTTTCACAAGCCTGGGCAGGGGCAGGCCTGGGCCACCGGGCTTCCGCGCGGCCCGAGGCAGGAAGAGCTGGTGGCTGATGTAAGCCCTTGCGCAAACCTCTGGCTGCTGGCTTCCGGAGCCTTCTACCCGCCTGCCTGCCAAGGAGGAAGCCTGGGGCCTGGCGGGGCCCAGAGGCCCTGCTGCCCGGGCTCGGGCCACATGGGTGTCCTGACCGGCCGCCATGGCCCTGGGTCCCGAAGGCTTGGCGCTGGAGTCTGGTGAGGGGGCTGGGTGAGGCCGGGCTGGAGGACGGGGACTCCGCAGACACGGGGTCTGGTGATGGCACATGTGGCCAGAAGGTGTCCTCCTGCCGTTTCCCTGCATGTACCCCCAAAGGGACCGGGTGGACTTTGTGGCATCCTGTGCCCCCGGGAGGTAGTAAGCGAGCACCTGTCGTATACAGACTGCATACGGCGCTGCTGGGGACCCTGAGGTGGGACGGGGCTCTGGGAGCCCCCCCCCCCGTGGGCTGGGGCCGCCGATGGCGTCTCGTCTGGGTCATTGCAGACAGTGCCCGCCTCACAGGGACGTGGGGAGGTTACCCGAGGGGGCACACGGGCAGCCCTTAGCTCGGGCTGGCCAGAGCTGGCTCCTGCTGGCTGCTTGGCCATCCCCGCCGTGCTCGGTTCTGTGTGCAGGCCTCCGCCCCTCCTCCAGGGGGCGTTGGCGGGAGGATTCAGTCCCCAGACTGGTGCTCGTCAGTGACCGGGCGAGTTTGTTGTTTGTTGTTACTATTCTC